AATCAAATGATACTTTCATACCGAGTACGAAAATGAATAGTTTTTGAATATAAGAAAATCAATATCTCCTTATTTGATTTCAATTTCTCTTTGTAAGGGGAGATATCGATGAATGATTTCTACTCAACAATTATAGATTTCTCTACAAGAAAAACGATTTCTCCTAGAACGTATCTATAAAAAGAAAAAAAAAGAAAATCAACATCTCCTTATTTGATTTCAATTTCTCTTTGTAAGGGGAGATATCGATGAATGATTTCTACTCGGCAGTTATAGATTTTTCTACAAGAAAAACGATTTCTCCTAGAACGTATCTATAAAAAGAAAAAAAAAGAAAATCAATATCTCCTTATTTGATTTCAATTTCTCTTTGTAAGGAGAGATATCGATGAATGATTTCTTCCTGTCGCTTGCGGTATTGTCTCCGTAGTGAATGATTTGCATAATGGATTGTGGTTGCTAAAGAAGCATTTCTGCTTGACTTTATGGAGGTTGAAGTCTTTCTGCTGGAAATGGAACAATATCTCGATTTTTGGGGATGTCGTCCAGCCCTCAAATTTTCTGATTCATCTATTACGGTAGTGTTAAAGCTATTATCAACTAGACAAGTGACTCCTCTAAAGATATTGCTCCCTTTTTTACTAAACCAATTAAAATACGGAATATGAGGGAGTTTACGTATCTGTTTTCCTACTCCAGTTAGAATGCACACATGAGGACAATATGAAGAAAGAAGAAGATCAAGTTCTGAAGTACGTGTATACAAACTCTCACAATTCCATAGAAGAATAGACAAATTTTCCGAAATATTCTAAGGTCTTTCTTTGCGCCAACTTCTACTCAACTCAGATACACATACTTTCCTATTCCATTCATTTACAATAGAAAGCAAACAGTTTTTATCATTTGTATTTCCATTAAATTGGTTGATGATGTTATAATTCAATATGGGATCACAGTATTTGAAATCTTTATTTAACATTAGGATCTTTAAGTAAATTACCTAATGTTTTATTTAATGTTTCATTTTGTTTATGAACTAATTGTTCTAATGAGTTGATGTGTTTAGAAAAAGAATATTCAGCTTCTTTTATAAATTCAGCTTGATTTGTTAGTTGTTGTATATCATCATCATAATCATTACAATTAGTTTTCATTTTCATTTTGTTTATTGCATTACAAATTGTGGTTGTTGTTGTCATGCATGTAAAAAAAATAATTTGTTTTATACTATTAGTCACTATTGTGATCATTTGATGTTGTGCTTGATGTTGTTGCTGTATAACCGACCATGCTTGATTTATTAAATCTATATGTTCTTTTTATTTTTCTTCATTTCTTTGTTGATCTTCTTTATATTTTTTCTTCAATTCAACTAATTCATCATTAAATGATTTAATTATTTCGTTCATGTTTTGATTCGTTGTTGTATTAGTTGTTGTTGTTGAGGTAAGCAATGCCCATTGATTATGATCATTTCTGCAATAATATTGTTGTTGTGTGAGATGATACATAGTTTTATTCTGAATTATTTTTTCTTTATTATTTTGATTACGATATTCAGGTGGAATAAAAAGTTGAATATGCTGTGGAAGTTTTTCGGGGTGTTTTCTCAATTCACATATTATTTGTCTACGATAATCGTCTATTAATGGACATTTATAATCTGTTGATAAATGTTCAGCTTGACAGTGGTGACATTTAATAGGACATTCTTTATGTTCTTCAATATTTGTACGATTGCCACCACAACAATGACAGATATCAAATGATGAGTTTAGACATACCTTTTTGGTATGTCCTGGTTGATTACATCGTCTACAGATCAGAATTTTTGGTGCCGGAAGAAATTCATTGATATCATATAATTGACCCATTAAATTAATTTTTTTACTATTTAGTAATGTGTCATAATCTTTTTTATCTAAAAATTCAATCGTAACATGTCTTGTTCTTTCATTAAGAGTATCATTTATTGTTGAGATTGAACGTATACTTTTATAATTAATACACAATTCATTCTTAATATCTTGATCTGTAATTGTATTTTTTATCCATTTTAAAATGATTGTGTGTTGTCGAGGTAAATGTGTTGGTGGAATTGGATTACTTTTTATATTAATCAACTCATCTGGATATCTTTCTTTCTTGCATAAATACACATACAATTCTATTGTTTTAATGATCAATTGCATATTTCCTTCCGAGTCAATCCATCATATATCAACTAAAATTTGTTTTGAAAAAGAAGAATTTTCAAATAAAAAATCATTTCTAATATATTTTAATAACTCATTTACTAGTTTTACACCTTCTTTCTTATCATCTAATTTCGGCTCACATTCTAGTTTGAATGGTGGATATTGATAATCTGCAGCATAATTCAATGCATAATTTGATACCTTAATATTATTATTATTTATTTTACATCCATTTCGATTATTGTTATTTGTATTTGATAATTGTTGTTTTTCACGATGATGAGATGAATTGGTAAACGTTCTAGTTAAATTTAATGCAAATTGATCATCTGTATCATTCAATTTCTTTTTTTTGTTTACGATTTGAAATTATGTTCCATTCAGAAGTATAACTATTATTGTTCAATTCTTCATCATCTGATTATCTTCGACGTTCGCTTGTTGCATGTCTTTTTAATGAACTATTTATATTGACATTCTGTTTAGTATTCGCTTCTAATCGATTAATTGCTTCTTGAACTTCCTCACCATTACATATACGATCCATTTGATTACTTGTCATATTATGACAATATTCATAATTCATACTTGTATTTAATTGTTAATTTTGTACTTGTTCATCCTAAATTTTGTCCTTCTAGGCACTGGACAGAAATGAAAGAGGACAACATGTCAAGAGAAAAAAGAGAAGTGAGAATATGAACTTCAGTCATCTGAGCTTGCAACAATATCTCAAGTCTTGCCTCAAGATTTGTTCACATGATATCAGTTTCTTGCTCACGGTAGTCAAGAACTTGACGGACATGATATAGAAAATTGGAGCACGAAATATATCTAACAGAGTCCCGTACAGGATAACGTTTTCTGTCCTGTTATGTGACCTCACTCGCTCCTGTTGAGTGACTGGAAGCACAACTGAACGATTTTCTTTCTTGCCCAGCTCTGATACCGGCATGAATATTGTACATGGGATCTGTACTATATGACACAAAGAAACTACGAGAAGGAGAAAATGAGTGAATCGTACTATAATGCATATCAGTGTCTCTACTAAATACTTGATTTAATTGACTTTTAGTGAATTTTATTTACTGATCTTTCAGTCTCCCTCGGACAAAAAAAAACGCCTTTTTCCATTTCATTTTTGCATCACTTAATAAGTTGTTTTAGAAAAATAAAATATACCAGGAGATGCAGCGTAAAAAGAACTACAATGTGCAAACTAAAGCTTATTTTAATTTTGTACTTTTTGTTTTCAAAAGAAGCAAAATTGTGTGCGACCAATTTTCGACGCTGGGAAAAAATCATTTTTTTCTATGCGAACGAGAAATTCCTTTTTCCTTATTTCATCTTTTTATCAACTAATATGTTTTTGTAAAAAAAAAATAAAATATACCACAATACGCAACGTGAAAAGCTCGACAATTTACGCGGAACAGTTTATTGAAATAAGAAGAAAGGAATTTTTCATTGGTGTAGAAAAATGATCCGTTCGCAGCGTCGAATATTGGTCGCACTGAATTTTGCTGTTTTAGAAAACGAAAAGTACATAATTGAAATAAGCTTTCCTTTGTAGATTGTAGAGCTTTTCACGCTGCATCTTGTGGTGCATTTTTTTTTTACAAAAGCAGATTAGGTGATAAAAAGATGAGATAAGATAAGATCAGAAAAAATGATTTTTTCGCAGCGTCGAAAATTGGTCGCACACAATTTAGCTTTTTTTGAAAACAAAAAGTACAGAATTAAGATAAGATTTACTTTGTAAATTGTAGTTATTTTCACGCTGCATCTCCTGGTATATTTTGTTTTTTTAAAACAACGTATTAAGTGATGCAAAAATGAAATGGAAAAAGGCCGTTTTTTTTGTCCGAGGGAGAGTCTATGAACAAACTTCATTCATTACTAATTCATCTTTTCATCTATTTTAGCGGCGAAAGATTTTATTTCTAATAAATATTCAAAATAGTTATTCTTCTACTTTTGCATATTAAAGCGATTTCTCTTTGATCCGTAAACTTGACAATATACTCATATTTCATGATGATCTGACGATATTTCTATAATGGGAATATCAACAATGTTTAGGAGTTTTCACGTTTCTTTCACTTCAAAAGCAATATAAAATGTATCTATAGTTAAAAAGTGAACACCAACGCTGCTTTATAGTAAACAACATATCCATTAACGAAAAAATGATTCGAGAACATACATACAGATTTGTTCTGTCGTAATCGTTCACATCATTTTCTACCTTATCGGAGAAAAAGAAAACACAAACTTTACCTAACAATATGAACCATTGGATTGAGCAGTATTACCTTGATCTCGATAATTGTCTTATACATATACAAAGGTTTGCGTATTCCTTTTTGTGCTACGGATGAAGGACTATTTGTTTCGATACAACGATTTAATAAACAAAACTTGATTGAAAAACAAGTCATCCTTCCGGTTTGTACTCAAGTTGAACCCTTTAAAAACATTTTTTGCTGAGTACTACTTAAAAGTAAAAAAAGATAATTCTTCTCAGCAGACTTATCAATTTTTTCTTCCTTACTATTCGAATTTCACCACAGTATTTTTACTTAAGTTTATCACACCCTATGAATTAAAAATCTACAAAAAAATCAAGAACAAGGATTTAACTTTTAAAATTTATTAAGCATGCTCGCGAATAAACGTTTCAGTACGTTAGAAGAAGATTCGTCCTGCATAGTATTACAATTATTTCAATTAATACTGTTTTAGGAAAAAACATTTTCGTTCTTGTTTACCTTCCTTTAGACATCATTTGAATATTAAAAAAAACGAGAATCCTGGAACCATCAAGGGGGAAAAAGCTGAATTTTTGATTGTTTTGATTGCCAATGATTTGCAATGATTGTCATTGATTGTCAGTGATTTGCAATGATTTGCAATGATTTGCAATGATTTGCAATGATTGTTTATACTCTTTTATATCGAAAAACGAAGGCTGCGTAAATACAGATACAATTTGTATTCCTCGAAACGACGAAGAACTACTAGCACAAAAATGTATCGCCTTGTATCGACATGTATCGGATCCATATATCGGAATAATACCATGTATATCCCCCAAAAATCTAGAATTCTAGAATTCATGTATCGGCTTGTATCCGGGCCATATATCGGTATAATA